AATCCCTATTAAATATATTCTTTACCAAATGATAAATTATTTCTCGTGAAAAAATTCACGCTGCCCTAAACGGGTTCAAAGTTGTGACTCAGCACAAGGCCTGGCCTGACCTGACTGTTCTCTCAGCCACGGCCCAGGAATCTGCACCCAGAGCAGGAGGACAAGACTCCAGCATCCAGGACTCATGCACAGGTTTGTCCACAGGGAACCTGCAGCCCCAAGAAGAGCCCAGGGCAGGGCTGGGCAGGGAGGGGCCTCATGGGGACACGGTCTCAGGGGTTTAGGGGAGGAGGGGGGCTTCAGGCCCTGGGGGAGCCCCATCCACACCAGAGCCTGAGGGGATCCCCTCCCCTGGGGGACTCACAGGCTCCTCCAGAGAAGGAGGATTGTTCATGGGCACAGAGGGCTTCCGGGGTCCAGTCTCCAGGGGACAGAGTGTCATGGACACGTCTCCTAAATAACAGATGAAGTATGGAAGGAGAGTCCCAGAGAAGGACTCAGGAGGGAAAGAGAAGATGTGGGAGCCATCGGTAATATCATAGAAGGAGACATCCCCGTGATCATAGTCCAGGAAAACCCCCACCCTGTGGGGAACCTGCCTAAGGGGTAGCGGAGTACGAGGGTCAGTGAAGGCTTTGAAAACATTTCTGTGCCGGCCAAAAACCCATTTCCCTTTCAGTGGGGACACAGCACCGCGTCTATTTTCCTCATCTTTCCTCCAGACCCCCAGTGCCCACCAGGTTTTGTCTGCATTTCTGACCTCTACTTCCCAGTAACAGCGCCCTGATGTGATGCCCTCAAGACCCAAAACACAGGATCCTGATTCTTTTCCATCATGATGACAGGTCAGACTCTTCTTGTCATGAGAGAGGACAATTCTACTGTGGCAAAAACCTGGATCCAGAGTGACAGGCCCTGCAGAGAGAGAACCCATGCACCAGCCTGACATAACAAGGGCACACACCTCCTTACCCCAGATACTCAGCTTTATGGGGAGAGGGATATGTTCCCTGAAATGAGAGCCTGGTGACCCAAGCCCACAGCCCCCAAGCAAGAGAAGGAGCCACAATATTATTGGGGGTCAAGTATGTCACAGGACCCCTGGGGACCCACCTGGACCCCAACGACTGAGGAGCCCCTTCAGCACCCTTGACCGGTCACCCCCAACCCAGCTGTGTGACATCACAGCTGCACCAACCCCACCCCACGGAAGGTCCAGAGTCTGTGTCCACACAGAGAAGAGAAGGAAATTCCAGAAGCTGAGCAGCCCCAGAGAGAATAGAGTCACTCACAGGCCCAGAACCGCTCCTTCCGCCAATCTGCAAGAGACACACATGTCACGTGAGGGACTCTAGATACTCACACATCAGGGCCCATGCCTTGTTTTCTACAAGACAGTGATACAGAGTTCACGGGGAAAATATTTGGATTTAGTGGATGCATTTAACTTTTAGATTCATACACACGCACACACACACACACACACACACAGTTCTTATGCTGCAAATTTCCCATGATTTAAGACATAAAGCTTAATACTCAGGGGTGACAGGCTGAACACCCACTCAACAGAAAGGTCTTTACCCGGATACGACCATCAAATTATACTTTCAGGTTACCGGCCAAGACGTATCCTGGAAACTAGGTTTTCTTGAACAGGTTCTATGGAGATGAAATGCCCAGCACTGCATGTGCTTGTGAAGAACTAACAAACCTGGACGTGCAGGTTTTCTCTGAGCCACGGGGCTTAGAGATACAACCAGCCCAGGCCTGTGTGTGGCCCGATGCTCCTGCCTCCCGGGGCAGCAAAGGCCTGCAGAAGCCTGGAGACGTGGGGGCTGGTGGGCAGAGCTTTCCCCTCTGATTGTGAATAAATCTGTTTGTCAAACAAGGGGAGAGAGACAGACAGAGAGAGAATGAAACAACGTGACTGAGCTGCACGTGGGGGTGACTGTGACATGAGTGAGGGGACAAAGGACACTCAGCACAGGGCCCTGCCCACTCAGGAGGGGGTGGAGAGGGTTCTAGGGGGAGAGAGACATGCAGAGTAGGGAACATGGACACACACTGAGAGGATCAAACACTAGTGACAACTTTCCACATTTTCATGTGTGGTGGAAACAAAACCATCCCTGCAGACAGAGAAGAACACAAACACATTGGATTGACACAACTGTTTCCTTCAAGAAGAGCCCAGAAAGATGGAAGCTTCATAGTAAGACCTCTCTGTATAAGCAGAATAATGACTTCAATGATGTCCGTATCCCCATCCCATGGCCCTGTAAATTGTGTCCTTGACAGAGGAAAGAGAAATCTGCAGGTGGGGCAGAGACAGGACCTGGACACAAGGATGGTACTGTGGATCATCAGGGGGAACCAATCACATGAGCCTTAACAGCCATGACCCTGCACCTGTGCTTAGAGATAGTCGCAAGGCAGGCTGTGTAGACAGAGGATGGGATCCCCAGTCAGTGCAGGGAGCCCTAGATCCTGGGAGAAGAAGGGGCTCCTGGAAGGAAGGAGCTGCCAGATGCTGGAGTTGCTCCCAAGACATGGTCTCTGATGTCTGTCCGGCAGGCGTGTGAGATGATAAACTGTGTGGGTGACGCTGCTCAGGGTGTGGTGACGTGTGTCAGCAGCAGCTGGAGCTCTGATGCCCCATGTGGGGGCCCAGGCAGGTGAGCAGGGCCCTGGCAGGGGAGGGTCTGGAGGGAGCACCAGGACCCCATGATGCACGTGGACAGATGAGGACCCAGAAGTCACCTGCTCTGGGGGAGAAGGAGGGAGAGAGAGGAGCCTGGAGACCAGGGAGGGAGGAAGGACAGGTGAGGAGAGGAGTTCAAGGATGTGGGACAGGAGGAAGGAACGAGAAGGTTGATCAATTTGCTGACCAGAGACAGACCAGACCCTGACTGTGCTGAAGAGGGAGGGTCACCCGCAAGCCCTAATGACCAGACAGGACGAGCTCTACCCACCTCAACGTGTGCCACACAGGCTCTTTAGACCAGTGGCCTTGAGAGAGCCCCTGAAATGACTGAAAGGGGAGTACAGGTCCCTCTACCCCAGAGCCCCAAGGCCATGTCGTCTCCCACCCCACCCCTGCCTGGGAAGGAGGAAGCAGGTCATTCCCCAACACTCAGGTCAGACACAGCAAGACTCTGAGGCTGTCAGAGGAGAGCCTGAGCTTCCCAACCGTGTGAGCAGAGAGGCAGAGACAGGAGAATCCAGGATCCACATTTATAGGAATAAGGAACATTTCTTGTGCACAAGGTGTGTAAATGTGTGACACCAGGCACACCTGCACAAGCTCACTCAGAGAAACTGGCATTTCCATCTTTGCTTGCAATGATTAGGTGGCATATGTGTGACCTCTTTGTGAAAAAAGGAGATTTTCAATTTTCTTGTTTTTCCCGAGACATTAGTTGACATCCGCTATAATGCTCTACACCACACTTCTTCATACAACAATAAAAAAAGAGGGCGTGGAGGAGAACAGGAACAGGAGCAGCAGGAACAAATGTAGAAAATCCAGTGACATTTAATGTGAGACACAGCGTGCCCAGTACTGTGTGTGCACTGACTGCGCTAGTCAGTTAATTTTTGTAGCAAAACCTTAAGTAAAAAATTTTTGTTAAATTTCACAAATAATACGAGATCACACATGTATCCATCTGTGAATCTGTCAATATCAAAATGTTGATTCTAGTGTATTCATGGTGTTTCATTCAAACACATCATTCCTTTTGCATGCCAAAGAAAAGTTTATGTTAAAATGCATGAGACATGAACTCAGCAGAGGCTGGAATGATGGTAAAGACTCTGCTCCTCACTGTATGGAAATGAGTCCTAGGGGAACCAGGAAGACTCTCAGGAGGGTCCTCACTCCCTGGTCCCCAGGCCCCTCCCCTACAGCCCCCCTCTCTGTGTCTCAGGGTCTGTGTCCAGGACCATAAACAAACCCCTGAGCAGGGAAAGGGTGTGTGACTCAGGCTCAGGAGGCTCAGATCTCCCTTCACCAGCATCTCTGACCTTCCCCGCAGGACCCAGCGCAGACCCTGCTCTGGGGTTACGGGGGGAGCTAATGTGAGAGGAAGCATAATTAGATGGTCACCTCAATAATGGTTTTCAAAGTGTAAGTTTATCTGAAGTACTTCAAAAGGCCCACTGTGTTTCATCCCCAAGCCTTGCACAGCGTCTGCACAGCACAGATTCAAACTGGTGACTGTGCCCAAAACCTCTAGAAGGCTCTTCTCCCACACACCCCTCTCCTTCCTTCCCCTCTCTATCTCCATCCAGACGTTTCTTTCAAATTTCACCCCTGTTCTTTGGAAATGGATTATAACCATTTTAGGTTTGATCTTTTCCAGTCTACATAGTTGCCTCTTAAAAAAAAAAAAAAACCCTAAATAATAGCAACCAGCAACCATGAGACTGTCAGAATTCTCCTTAAAAAAAATGATGATTCTGAAAATCATACATTGTTTATCTTGTTACAAAGACACAAAAAGTACACACACACACACAAAAACTGGATTTTACAGTAATTTCAGAACTTTTACAGGCCTCTGCCCAAGAGTCATAAACATCCCAGAAGCTCTGACCCAGACTCAGAACACCTCAGCAACCACAAGGGATTGGAAGAAAAAAACCAGCTTGGACATAAATCAGAGCATGCATGAGAAGACAGAGAATTAAGAGGAAATAGGAAACAAATACTAGATCCCAAATTGGACTGGGATTTTGAATCCAGAATGATCCATAAGCAGGACCCCTTAGCAAGACCTAATTCTGAAGCAGGAACCAGCATGTCTGGAATTTTCAAGAGATCAGTAAAATCCTGAACCCCAAACCTGCCCCTGCTGCAGCCTCTCTTCACACTGACCCCCACTGTCCTCACCCACAAGAAATTACCAGGTGACAAGTGGTCAGAGGGTGTCCTGACCCAGCATGACCTGCAGGGAGGACAGGGCAGATAGAGGCAGGTAGAGGCCCTGTTGTTCTCAGATGGAGGCTCCAGAGTGAGAGGAGACCAGGAACCCCAGGTCCTTCCTGGTGGGGTCCCCTGATAGAGAAGGGGCAGAGGGGAGGCTGGGAGGTGGTCCCAGGACCCTCAGGGCCACTCACCTGCATACAGCTGGGCCTTCCTCCAGGCTGAAAGGGAACACACAGGTGAGACCTCAGCACAAACATCTGTTTATGTGATGCAGGGGCCTTGGTCTTCCTGTGTTCTGCAGGTGAGACTCTAGAGGGTGGAGGGGGAGAGGCTGGAGAGGTCATGACCTCCTGCCCTGTGCAGAGAGCAGGGGGTGGTGGGAAATCCCTGGGTCAGGTCAGGAGCCTGCAGGACAGACTGACTGCTGCTGTTGGGCTTTGGCAAGTCACTGAGCAGTTCTGGGCCTCAGTGACTTCAAAGCTCCTGCTTCACCTGCTACTCAGTGTGGCTACACAGGATCAAAAACAGTACATGGAAAGATATTTTTTAATGGACATATTATTCCATAATTATTACATTCAGTATTTCCTTGGAAATTAATGGGAAGATGAAATAAAAACACAACATGAACATCACACCAGCTCCAGAGTAGAAATGGCCCATCTTCCTCCAATGCAGTATTTCTAGTGATAAAAACTTTCTGGGAGATGGAAAGTCCCCCCACACCTTCACAGGCAAGGTCACCCCATCCTCTCCCAGCACTACTGATCAGCATCTTCAGGAATAGAGTGAACAGACTTTTCTTGGGGTTGTTTGGGGGAAAAGGGCAGGAGGAGGTCACACTCCTAAACTTTAAGAGTCCATTTACTTATAAAAATCCCAGAGCAGCTGCTTCACTTCCAGGTGCTGACCAAGAACAAGATGCATTGAGGACTAAAAAGCCAGCACAATGATGGGAAAGTCAGGACTGGAATGAGACCAGGATGCAGGAGACTCCAATGGTCACCATCCACCAAGATCCCACGAATGGAGGGAAAGCAGCACCCAGATCTGGAGCCCATGGAGCAGGGTCCTGCCTCCTACCAGCCCCCAGGGAAGGGACCACATGTCTGTGCTGAGACACCCAAGGGGAGGGACCCCTGGGCACAGGGGACAGGGACCCAGGACCCCTGGAGCATCACTCACCAGCCAGGTAAGCTGCCTTCCTCTGGTCTGAAAGACAACATAGGACACAGGTGAGCTAAGAACCAGAATGTCACCAATAAAGGAGACAGGAGAGTTCAGGAGGGAGAGCAGAGCTTACCTAGAGCTTCCTGGAGATCCTGTATATCTGTGGAATATTCTCTCCAGGTGTAGCAGGCAGCCCCCAGGAGCAGGAGCAGCAGCAAGGGCAGGCTCACCAGGAAAGCCGGCTTCCAGGGAGAGGCCCGGGGGAAGAAGGGCTCTGCAGACAGAGACCCCACAGAGACCCCATCAGGACACAGCCCAGCCCAGCACACCTGGGGGTGCTGGTCCCCCATCTGATACTGCAGGAAGCATGGAGTGGGGGAGCAGCACTGACCTGGGATGACCATGGCCATGACCTTCTCTTGAAGCAGGACTGGGTTGAGGATGGAGCAGGTCACGCTCCCCACAGAGCTGTCTCTCACCACCAGAGCAGACTCCACGCTGAACAGCCCCTCAGTGTCCTGGGCATGGACCTTGGAGAAGTTCTGGAACTGCTCCCCATGGGGGTGTCTCCACTGCACCTGGGGCTCCGGGAACCAGCCCGAGGCCATGCACACCACACGCACCCCGTCCTCCTCTGGCCCCATGATGTGCACTTGGGGGCCAGAGCCCACACCTGCAGAAGGAAGAAGAGAGCCAAGTGGGGCAGGGCCTCCTGTGCACACCTCCAGGGGAGGCTGTCAAGATTCACTCTGAGGGATCTGGGGAAGACCTGGAGCAAGATGAATAACCTGACATGTTCATCTCTACCTTTCTACCTATTGTTGTAATAAATATATAAACATGTTCAAATCTATGTAGAATGTTTTTCTTGTTAGAAGAGGACACCTTATTATACATAAAAGCTGTTTTCTCATTTCTCACCAACATTTTAGCCTCCATAGTGCAGCTTCTCCTTCTAGTCTATTCAGTTCTGGGTGATACATCAAAAATCTCCCATTTGACAACCGCAGTCTCCAAGGTCCTCTCACCCAGTCTCCCTTCATTCAAGACACTCCTGAGGTGACCTTGAAACCACCTTCATCTTGGACTGGTCACTTCCCTCTGAGAGTGGCTTTTTGTGATTTGGACCCCCTCTGGCCCCTTTCCGGACTTTTCTCCCTGCAACTGCCCCTTGAAGGCAGCACAGTCCCATGTTCCAGTCCTTAAAGCCCCGTCTTATCTCACACCCTCTCCCAGGGCTTCTTCTCCCTCAGCTCCTGTGTCTCCTCACACATCACTTCCAGATATCACCTCACCAGCCTCCCACCTCCCTCCCTGATAGCCCCATCCCTGTGGGTTACATCTGCCAGGATTCCTCACATGCTTTTCACAACCAAAATTCTGCCTCTGAACTCATGCTGTTGTCTCATCTGAGGTAAATTAGTAATACAAATGTTCCTAATTCTTCATCCTTCCTCATATCAGGCTCACACTTTGCCATTTTACTCACTCTGACTCTGGGATCAGTCATGTGACTTCACTTGTCTAATGAGAGATCAGCTCATGTGACTCAGCAGAGGTTTAAAGTGTTGGCCCCATGGGTCTTCCCTCTGCCACCTCCATGGAAGGACACTGTAGTTCAGGTGGAGCAGGGCCTGTCACCAGCCTTTCCCCTGAAGCTCCTCCCTCAGCCAGGAGCCTGTGACCATTCATGTAACAAGCCCAGCCAAGGTCCACGTGGTGACATTTTCATCTGACCAAAAAATGTAGGAGTAAGTTCAGTGGAGAGTAGTCAAGTCCATGCCAGGTTAACTGAAGTCTCATGTGAATACAAGTCCATTTCTACAGGCCACTGAGAGATTTTTCCTGTGGTTCTTTGTTACACAGCAGCACTATGGTGACAAGTAACTGATATACATTATTAATCTTCCTGACATTAAATACCAAACAGAATCTACAAAGCCTCGGAAACCTCTGCAATCCCTTCTTCCACTTTAAATTCTGTGACCCAATTCTCCTCATTCAATTGGGTTATTTCCAAACCTCACTGACGGCACCTCCTGTGCATCCACCGCCACTGTGTGAACCAGCCCCCCTCTCCACCCCGTAGCTGCAGCCACAACTCCAGATATTGTCTCCACCCTTGTCGTCCCCACTCCTGCCAGAGTCACATGCTAAGCGCTGCTGTGCTGAAAATCCCCAACAGCTCCACATGCAAACACCACAACATGTGCACCAGGACTCCTCATCTGTGACTGATCCTCCCCAGCCTCTTCTCTCTGCAGTGCTCACACTTTTTACACTGTTCCCTCAAGGCCCAACACCCCAAACTAAAGAATCTAACTGCTGTTGTCCACAATCACCAGGCTCTGTGGACTCCATCGTCCTTTCTTCATCTGCTCTGAGGGGCTTTATAGACCCTGTTAGATAAAATGACATTCCAGCTCAAATATCAACATCACATGGAGGTTTTTATGATTACCTTTGGGAGCATTCATCAGCCACCCTTGACCTCTCTGCCATGTACTCACAACATTTTTTATTAGAGTATTTGTCACCTCACAACACCCTGCTCCTCACTCTCTCCTACCAGCCACGAGGATCCATGTGAGCAGATCACACACCAAACACACGCTCCCCCCAGGTCATTCACACAGGCTGTGCCTCCACGTAGAAATTCCCTTCCCTGTAATGTACAACATGCCTGTAGCCAACATTGCTCTGTGACATGTAGGGAAATTGTTAAAGGACAAATTCCAAAGAATTTTTTTTCACAATGAGGATATTTTCCTTTTTTTGCCTCTTTTTCTTTCTTTTTATTAAACCTATAATAGCAGACAGATGTAATTTAACCTATTCTGGCCATCAATTCACTATATATATAAATCAGTCATTATGCTGTATGCCTCACATTACATATGATACATAGTAATTATCTTGTCTATAAAACTAGGGAGAAAGGAACACCCACACATCAGATATCTACTCAGCTGTATTCCCACTTCCCTGGAGTCTTTGCTCCCATGGCACCAGCCTGAGCTACTATTTATTACTGTAACCTCCCCTCAGCCCCAGCCCCACATTGCTCACCCATCTCCCTGCTCCATTTAGCTTCCTGTCCTCACCACTTCTCACTTTGAAAAGTCATTTAGGCCCTGGTTATTTATTACAATTGCTCTCTCTCCCACTACAAATATAAACTCACAGAGTGAAGAACTTTATTAGATTTGCTTTTGTATCCAAGAGTTTAGACCAGGCCAGACATGAAGTAGGTCCCCTGTATATTTGCGTTTCATAAAACATGAATTAATAAGCCTTTTCTTACTCATAAATGAAATGAAAAACTAAATTGCATTGCCCTTATTTTCTCCCCAATTCCAAAACTCCAGGACTCTGAGATATTTAACATGTCACCAACCTGCCACCTGCAGCTCCAAGCTGGCTTGCCCATGGAAGACTCCGTTGCTGAAGAAGCAGGTGTACAGCCCGTTGTCAGCAGCCTGGACCTTGTGGATGCGCACAGCAGCCTCCCCCTCACTGAGGAATTCCCCCACCAGCGAGGTCCGCCCTGCGTACTCGGCCATCAGCTCCTCATTCCACTCCTGCTGGTCTTGATAGGTGAACACTGACTCCCAGACATTGGACCGGAACCACCTCAACTCCATGTTCTCTGCACTCATGACTGGGTCCAGGGAGCAGGGCAGTGTGGCATCCTCACCCAGCTCTGCCACTATGGGGTCTGGGGGGCCAAGCACACGGAACCTCTCTGTGAACACAGACATGGGAGATAGAAAGGCTGAGAGACACAGTCATATCACAGAACACACACCATCTCTGTGGGAGGCCCAGGCAGGCTGAGGGAAGCTGTCTGATGAGCAGAAAGCTTGTCACAGGGCTAACCCAGATATAAAATGAGATTTCTTGACTGGGTTGTCACCCACGTGCTTAAAAGGGGACTTATTAATGCTAAACTGCAGACACACACAAAAAGTTGATAAAAGGTTTATTTACAAGGGAAGGGGAACTGGGGAAATGAATAACTCAGGGAGAAAAAGAGGGAGATAACTTTATAAATGCGTCCTCCCCATTCTGCTGACCTGCAATCCCAATGACCCCCCAAGCTGGCAAAAACCTATCACGCCTTGTGGCCAAGAGGGCGACCCCCAGCCACATGGCCAGTTAAATACCCAAACCCAGAGCCTAGTTGCTTAACCACGCCCTCAAGTCCTGGGAACCTTCCCTTGGTGATCATGGGATTTTCAGTTCCCAGTGTCATGAGGGTGGAGTCCACAAAGCCTGTATGGAGTTTGCTGAGGACAGCCTTTCCCCCTATCAATTCCCTCCTTTCTCTTTCTGCCATTTCCATGGTGATGAAGAGCAAATATATGGATGTTGGGATACAGTCTCAGATGAAAATTTTCAGGTTTCCAGTGTGAAAGAAAACCAGTCTCTCCATGTATTGTCCATTGTGGAAAGCAAAAGTCCTCCATTTCTGAAAAAACAGTTCAGCAGTCCAAGCCAAAAAAATAAATAAATAAAAACAAAAACAAAAAAGACTTTCTCCTAAGACTACACACTGAGATTGTGCCACCATAGATATGTTGGAATAAAAATATAGAGTGGGCATTGTAACAGGGTGGTCCCCAGGAAAGGGGGAGGTTCCAGGTTCTCTACCACACCCAAAAAAGGAGGGTGGAGCTGAGCAGGGAGAGAAGAGGAGACTGAGGAAGGAAGGAAGAATATGGATCCAGAAGGCGACCTGGAAAAGGCACATGGAGCCGAGAGACACGTGAAGAAAATACATTGCCTTTTGGTCGTAGACTGGGTGACACAGATGTGGGTGAGAGACCCGTGGGGAGGTGACAATGGCGGTATTTGCCTTGATTTTGATTTTGCTCTTTTCCTCCCAGACTTGTCTGATTGTTTCTGATCCTTTTCTGTGGGTCTCCACTGGAAGGTGCCTTAGACTTGTGGCAGGTTTGTAGGCCTTGCTCTGGGCCAATCCCATTTGGGTGGACTTTTACCCATGAGGGGACAGGTAACTTTGGGTGCTTGATTGATTTAGAAACTATGTTCTTTGTTTTTTTCTGCATTGTTTCCTCCCATTAAAATTTCCTCCCATTAAAATCTCATATATTTTGTGTTGATGCGGCAGATGGCAGAAAATATTTAGAGCAGGCAGGTTTGCGGGGTCTGGGCTGCCCCTCTCCGTGCCCTGTAACAAGCTGACATGAAGGATTAACAGTGACAATTCTGAATCTGGGAAAGATCTTCCACACAACTTGTGGTCCAGAAATAATGTCAAGGATGCTCCCTCATTCACCAGCAGGACCTTCCATAAAATACTCTAACTCCATGGTTCTCACATTCAGCATCACAATCTCTAGGAGGGCTTGTAACTGTAAAATGCAGGGACCCTACCCCAGGTCTGATGCAGCAGCTTGGGATGTGCAAAAGAATGTACATTTCAAAAGAGTTCTTGGGGGACTAAGAAGGTGTCTGAGGAAATCCATTTCATTGCACAGAGGATCATCAATGTGAATGAGTGGACAGGGCACCCAGAGAACACCAGGCTTGCAACAAAACTGGATACTCTCATACAGAGGTCACCAGGCAGACAGCACCAAAAGGGACATAGAGGAGAGTCATCCTTCACTGACTAGAGGTAGGCAGAGAGAGATACCTGGAGGCTGTGGTCAGGGTGGGGGAGGCTGCAGCACACACTGTGGGGCTGTCACTCAACCAGGCATGTGACCCTGGGCAGGGGAGCTGACAGTGAGGAGGCTCACAGCTCTGACTGGCGCTCCCAGCTAACAAAGTCCCCAGTGAAGAAACAAGGCACAGAGCTGGATGCACCCCCACTTCCCCTCAGGACTGGCCCTGCCCTTCTGAAGCTCAGGGACAGTGTGCACCGGGAAGCATTTCAGGGCTGGACTGAGAGAGGCGGTGTCAGGGGAGCCACAAACATGAGCTCACACGCCCCAGCCAGAGCACCCACACTAGAAGCTGGATGACTGCAGGCCCCACAGTCTCTGACTCAGCATCTCAAGGATCAGGTCTCTAGTCCTACATAAGTTACAAATCTAAAAACACAACAGGGTCACCTGATGGAAAGTTACAAGTAGTTCAACTCTCTAAGTTACCACTACAGATGTTTTTTTTTTTTTTCAAAAATAGGAAATTAAAGCAGCAAAATAAGCCCCAGAAATGTGAGATCTCAAGACAAGACCAACTCTGCAATATATAACTACAAAGATCATATCTTACTATCAAGTAGAGCTCAAATTGCCGTAATAAAGAAAGTCAAAGAAATGGAGAAAACACAGAAAAGTGAATCAAAAAGAAAACAAAATTCAGAACAATAAATGAATGACTTGGAAAACAAAATGAGTAAAAAAAAAAAACAAATTGAAGCCTTAAATTAAAATCACAGAGATGGGGCTGTAAAAAGATTAGCAGAGAAGCTACTCACTCCTGGAGAAGCTCTTGGAGCAGAATAGACCAAATGAAAGATCAAATCAGTGACCTGGCTGTAATAATGAACAATGGACCAAAATAGAAGAAAAAAGAGAAAAATGAAGAAAAACTGGAAGAACTAACCAATCTATGAGGAAAGGCTACATAAGCATAATGGATATTCCACAATTTGAAGAGAGACAGGAACAGAGATTCATTCAAAGAAATAGAGTAACATTACATATATACACACACTTAATGAAATAGTACTCAGATTTTTTAAAAAGATTTTTTTTATTTATGTATGCATACACGAGCTGGGGTGTAGGCCAGAGGTACGGGGGTGGGGGGGGTAAAGGGATTCACCAGAGACAGAGTGGGGAGCAGAACAGGCAGACTCACAGAAATAGACTGTTGAGGGGAGCAACTAGCAAGACAGGAGAGGTCTGCTACAAGATGTGGATCAGCTCCCTGGCCAGGGATCAAGCTCCTGTTACAAAGGCTAGTGATAGCTTGATAATGGTGAGACTTAACTCCTTCACCACCAGGGAGGACCACAGATTTTTTTTTTTTAAATAAGTAAAATCATGTCATTTAAAACAACATGGATGGAACTTGAAGACATTATGCTAAAACAAATGAACAAAGGCAATTCCTGAAGGAGGAGCTCCCAGAGCCCCTGGGCCCCACCCACCCGAGGGAGATAGGACAGGGAGGGACACACTCACCTTGGGATCCCCCAAGGGGCAGCTGGAGGAGGAGCAGCAGGGAGGGGAGGATGCAGAGCACAGAGCTGGGGCAGGAGCAGGGCGCCATCTCCTCGGGGCTGGGGAGAGACAGGACAGGAGGCAGCCAGGCCCACAAAGAGGAGCAGGGCAGCCAGGAGGTCTGCGCTCAGGGGGAAGCAGAGCCCAAGGGACCCCCACCAGCAGGAGCAGGGCCCTTCCTAGTGACTCTTTAGGCCCTGAGACCAAGAAGGACAGACCTGGCTCCTCTTGGGGATTCTGAGCCTCTGTGCTGCTAGAGACCATGACTTTTACTGGAGAAAAACATCCTCCCTTCCCTTCATACAGTGTGTAATCCACACCCCAGACCCACTCTGCTCAGAGCACCAGGCCCCTCCATTCCCAGCACCAGGGCCCAGGGTGCAAACTGCCTTCCCCTCCCCATCATCACACCCAAACCCAGGCCCCCATGAAGGACAGGCCAGTGCCTGCTTGTGGTCCTGTCCCCCTCAGTGTTACCAGGTGACCCTGAGAAGCATCAGGACACATGACACTGTCCCCAAGGAGTCAGTGTCCCCTCACAGGCTGTTCTCCTCTGTATGCTCTTCCAGCTCACCTGAAGGTGTGTCCCTCCCCAGCCATGACCTGCCAGGGCCAAAGACAAGGTCCTTCCCCAAACACAACAGGAACCGTGTCAGATCCCCACTGAGGGCCTCTTCCTCTTTTCTCTAACTCTGTGGGGATTTATGCCTCGGGATGAGGGACCCAGTGAGACAGAGCAGCAGAGAAAGGATATGAGGCCTGCTCAGAAAAAACACCCTCAAACCACACACCTCTGGGGTTGTGGGGGAGGCAGGCGATGGTCCTGGGAGGGCAGATTCTGGGGCTGACTCTGAGGTCATCTCTAGACTCAGCCACTCTCTGTGTGACCATCTTCATCAAGTCTCTTAACCTTCCTGCCTCACTTTCCCCACAGGAAAATGGGAAAGTATCAGCATCTCCCAACCAAGGTTGGAACGAGAATTACGTGAATTATATTTGAAGAGTCACTACCTAAAATTCTAGAACAGGGTCCTGCCCCAGGATGTTACAGACACATTATTAAAATAAGTGAAGTACAATCTTCAAGGAGGTTGTGCTGGGAGCTCTCAGACCTGCACCATTTCCTGTGCCACCTCCAGTCACACCCAAGCCCCACTACCTTCTTAGCCCCTCCTTGCAGTCAGCGGCTCCCCACTTTCTTTTCTTAAAAGAAACATGTCTTCAAAACTGACATACCTGCTCTGAAATGGCGGTGCTTCTAGGGCATCCCATCGAACTTGAGAAGTTTCAGTGCTTCCCAAATCTTCTTACAGAGTTAGCACCTGCTGTTAGCTGCTCGGGAGCCCTGCTGGGTGCCAAGGGAGTCTCATGGCTCAGAGAAGATGGCTCTTAAGAGAGCAGACAGGCAGAATTCAGCACTCGTTGAGGGGTGTCTCACCAGGGGTGGGATCCCTGGGATCCTCCTAATTTTCTCTTAAAAACCCAATCACCCTTCTCTGGCTCCTACATGATCTGAAAGTGAAAGCTGAAATGCAATCCCAGCAGCCTCCACCCTGCCCTCTAGACAGTGCACCCAAGAGAGAACTTCCTTCCTGTTTCAGGAAGGAAACAGCATATCAGATGGGTCAGAAGAGGGGAGGGACAGGCACCCCGAAACCCCTGCAGGCACAGGGGAGGGGCCCACCCCGCACCCACTGTGAACAACCACTGTGCTCCAGGCTGCTTGGCTCCCAGACCCAGAACTAGAAGTGAGTGTGGGGCCCAGTCAGGACTGACTCTGAGCCCCATGAAGGGCTCAGTCTGTGCCACCCCATTGACCCCAGGTCAGCTGTCACCCCACTTGGCAGAGCCTGTGAGGAGCCCCCAGGGGACTTGTTTTCTTCTCCTCACAGCAGCTGACCCAGGAGCCCCCACAATCTGGACACCAGGAGTCAGCACTGGGCACCAGGAGCTGCCAGGACCTGGTCCTGCCCACACTGCGTGGACGGGGCCTGCAGCTTGTTCAGATGTTAATGTCACCTGGTCACAGTGACCAGACCCTGCCCACCAGGACACAGGGTCACCAGGAAGACCAGATTCTATGTCTCACAGGAAACCATGGGACCTGGGCCTCCCCTCCCCCCTCACTCCCTGTGGTTTCCCTTCTCAGTGAAGGGCACCTTTGTCATCCCCAGTTATCTCTGCCAGAGACTCCAGGGTCATTTTCACAGTCCACTCCCCACCCAGTCTACTTACCATGCACCCAAATTTTCAGTCCATGTCCATGATGAGCACCTATTCCACATCACCTTCATTTCTCACCTGGCCCAAGGGTCACCCCACCCCACCTCAAGCCTCATGTCCCCCAGCCCATTTCCTTCCAAGATCATGACCCTTTCCAGTCAGCTCATGTCAACTCCCTGTCTCATCCCTTCAGGGGATCCCTCTGCTTAAAGGAAGGGCTCCCAGGGCTCCCCCTCCCTCTCTGACCCCCTTCCCATTGCTCTCCCAGGAGCCCCCTCTGGCTATAGTGACTCTTCCAATTCAGGGAGGTCTCCCAGCCTCAGGCCTCCTCACAGTCCCTGATGCTCCTGCTGCCTCTGCTCCCCATACCCCTCAACTTTTAGGCCTCAGCTGAAACGACCTCCTCCAAGGGGCCACCCCAAATCTCTCCATCCCCATTGAACATGCTGGTTGGGGAGAGGAGGCCTGTTCTTGACCACAGCCCTGACACGTGTCTTCTGGGGAACAATGTGGGATCCCTGGTGGAGGCTCTGTGAGTCCAGCAAGGAGGGGCCTCACCAGCCTCAGCTGAGCTCTTCTGCAGAGGAGATGCTGCTGCTGCCCATCGGCTCCTTGGCCTCGTCCACTCAGAAAACCCCTCAGTCCCCTGAGAACACGAGATGCCATCTCTGACCTGAGCACCAGCCCCTGATGGACACGGAGTCTAGCACGCTCCCCTGTTTTCCTATACCCCCAAAGGAGGCCCTGGGAATCCAGTAATGAGGGGTCTCACCAGCCTCAGCAGAGCTCATCTGCAGAGGAGATGCTGCTGCTGCCCATCGGCTCCTTCCAAACATAACTGAGTCACTAGTCACATCTCACTCACCAGGAAACAGTGAGGTCAGCACCAGTGTCTGCCCCCCGAGGCCTGCCCAGGGCTCAGGGTCACCAGGCAGTGACTCCTGAGAGTGTGGCCCTTACCACAGTCCTGCCAGGTTGTCGTCCTCACATCACCTTCTACACACCAGCGACCCAACTCCTCGCAGGGTCATAGCCTCACACCAGCAGGACTGTCCTGCCAGGGCTCACTCTCCCTGTCCTGAGGGGCCTGCTGTGTCTGTTTTTTTTTTTTTTTTTAGGATTTATTTTATTTACTTATGCATACAAGAGCAAAGGTATAGGTCAGAGATGCAGGGTTGTGGGGGTGAGAGGACTCACCAGAGACAGAGCAGAACAGGCAGACTGACTGAAATATACTGCTGAGGGGAGCAGCAGGCAAGACAGGAGAGGTCTGCTGCACCACGTGGGTCAGCTCCCTGGCCGGACATGGAACTTCTGCTGAAGTGGCTGCAGGGATAGCTTCATAATGTTGCAACTTAACCCCTTGCTCCACCAGGGAGTCCTGTGTCTGTCTTCATGGAGCAAGGAGTGTTCTTTTATCTCTGAAATCCAAATCCATGATTTCTGCCTGGAAGTCAACTATGAGATATTAAAATGCTGGTACAACCCAGGAGTTCTAGAAATACCTAACACATCCCAGGTTGTTATCCTTAAAGTTTCCTTTGTGACAATCTCCCCTTAGACTCAGGAATATTGGGAAAATCCATCTTTATCTGAAAAAAACTGAAGAGAAAGGAAAATACTCTCCACTGTGTTTACCTCATCTGCCACCACATACCTGCAGAGGAGACACCTCTCAGGGATGCCTTTCAGCCTAGAGACATTAGGAAAATTTGATGAACACACAGAGGGAAGAAAAACAAACTTCACTGAGCACCTAGTAGGTGCCATGAGCTGGGCTGCATAGGTGGTGTCTGTGGCCCCTGATTCTCACACCTGCAGACAGAGATGAAGGCACCTGAGTCCTGCCCTCTGTGTAGTGACATAATCCAGGACCTTCCTGGGGGAGGGGCTAAGGCTGCAGGATGTGCCCCACCCCCACCCCTGCTTTCAGCTCAGCCAGCCCCCAGCTCCACACCCCTGGTGGGGGGAGTAGGAAGGGGACCTCCAACTGTCCCAGGAGGACACACCCAGAAACCTCACCTCCCCCTGAATGCTGCCCTTGGGCCCCTGTGGGGAGGGGAGGGAAGGAGGGACAGAGCACAGGGCAGGTGTCCCTGGACAACCCTGGGGGACACTGGACACCCTGCAGGAAGGACACTCACCCCCCTCACTGCCTCTCCAGCTCCTCAGGGCTTGTTCCTGCTGCTCTATCAACACACACTGTTCACTGTTCTGTCTTGTTCAAATATAAATTGTCCTGGTGCTGGTGGGCTAATAATTTACTTTCCTGTTCAACCAAGGTATAATACCTGTAATCTTTTCATGGTGTCAAGTACTTAGGAAATAGTTTCAGGTAAATACATGAGGAAGCCTGAAACAGTGGTAAATATAAAATGAGTTGTAATTTTAAAATACAACTATTGATGGGAGGATTAAACCCCTTTACATGAACTTGCAATCCAGTAAAATTTAATTTATCTTGACTCTGTTAACATGACGAGTTCACTGGATTCTCCTCCATGGCAGAAAAATGATCAAAACAGTGTCAAATTACTTCATTGCTGGGCAGGGTGGGGGAGCCAGGGGGAGGAGGAGATGGGAAAGTAAAAGATACACACACACACACACACACACACACACACACACAGGTTCTACAGGTTTCAATATGTGGCATAAGGGAACCAGGACACTGAGCCTAACAAACAAGAAGCAGGTTTTTTGTACACATACTTGATCCGGGATCTCCACACAAAGGCTGAGCACCCCTCCAAGAAGTTATGGGCTTCTGTACATTTCAGCTTGTGCTAGAGTGTTAACACTGTAACTGTTCAAGGGCAGACATGGGCTGAGTCACAGCCCAAGAAATGCAGGAAGTTGCTTATCACAGGACCCAGGGCTGCCTACTCAAGTGCCTTCACTTTCATTGAGCAAAACCACTGGGCTTGTTGTGCCCAGCATCAACAAGTGCAGCCCACAAGGACACACAGACAGCCAATGCGAGAACACAAAAGAGTTTATTATGGGCTCGAGTCCAGGCTAACGACACGCACGGAAGCAGCGGCAGAGATTGAGAGCCCCGAACAAAAGAAGCAGGGGTTTTTTATAAGGTTACAGACCAACTCAAAAATCAAATCATGCTAGTTGTCACCCATTGGCTACTAGAGTGCATCTTGGCACGCATGGTTGTAGTCTTAAGCTGATTGGACGAGTAGAGATGCAGCCCCATTTATGGATAAGACCGCCCTCATTGGCAGTTGGGGATGGTTTGACTTTATGTCAACAAGTGGGGTGAGGGCTGTGACTGTTGAAACTATCTCTGGAATGCAGTTTTGCAAAAACTAAAATATCAAGATAGTGGATATACAAAACGGCGAAGCCTTGGCTAAGCTTATTTCCACAGGCTTCCTTTGGGGAAGTTTGGAGAGAAGTTTTACATCCAGTGGAGCCCAGGGTGAGATAAGGGTCTAGAGGGACAGGGCTGGGGTCTCCCTGCTTTGGCATGTGCAAAGCTGGTTTTTCAGTTACTGGATGGGAAAAGGGCATGGAGATAGGGCTGCAGCCTTTGTGCTAAATTCCCAGCCTACCTCAAAACTGGGGCTCAGAGGGGAGGCGAAAACTTATTAGAAAATCCATTTAAAATAATGTAACCTCATCTCTTTTAATGTGTTGTTTGTTTGTTTTATAATCTGCATAATATTTCTACATACATATTAGCGGAGCTGCATCCTGCTAGGATATCACTGAAAAGAGTGAATGAGCAAAGGAATTAAGATCCCAGCCCCAAACCCCAACTCCTGAGTATCATTGAAGCAGCAGGTCCCAGGGGGAAGCAGGGCCATCTTGCAGCTCCCGCCTGGGGGCACCAGAAAGGGGGGCTACTTGGTGGGGGAGGAGCCCAGGGGCCAATAGAAAGGCCACCAGGCTTGTCCCCAGGTTCCATGAGGCTCTGCTGCCCCCTTGTGGCCAGTTCAGGGTGGACACCGAGGGAGGGAAAGGAGGATGCAGACAAGGAATCTTGGAATGAACCCAGGAGAGCTGGACCCAGGGACAAAAATACAACCCTTGCAGGATACTGAGGTATGAAGTTAAAAAAGCCAAAACAGCTCAATGATGGCAGAAGTCAGATGAGCAGTTTCCCGGCAGGTTATAAGCACAGGGAGGGACACCAGGGGGACTCCTGGGTGGTGAGACTTCATCACGTGCACATTCACTTACTGTCCTTTTCAAGAACAAAGAACAAAGAAACTGAGTACCTGTTACAGGGCAGCCCCGATATGAAACGGGTTGCCTGACTGAGTCCTCACCTGCGCGCTTTAAAGGGACTTTTTTCTTT